TGGGCAATCAACAGTAGCTCAAAGCAAAGAAATATGGAAAAGATGCCAGAGAAAACAGTAGCTACACAAATCTATATTAGAACCAGTATTTATGTCTACGACCTTTCTCGCTGGGTATAAACGGGAAGATAACCTAACAGTACGTCAATTTCTCAAAGATTCTAAGCTCCGATCTAGAGAAGACATTACAAAGGCGTGGCCAGCCCTTACCTTAACGCCTTGGATGTATAGACAAATCCACCATTTTCTACGTAACTCCCCACATCTAAAGGATTATTCAAGACCGCTTACAGCTTTCGAAAAACTCTGCTTTACAGATCTCCCACAGAGGCATGTAATATCCAAATTATATTCCCTATTGGAAAGTTCCAATACATCTCACTCACTAAAGGCCTGTGCAGCCTGGCAGCATGATCTAGAAATTTCAATCTCACCTGAGGAATGGAACCACATTTACGATCACATGCATAAAGGTTCCATATGTGTTTCTACACAAGAAAGCAACTACAAAGTTTTTTCCAGATGGTACAGAGTTCCATCTGTGATTCATAAAATTTGATCCTAAAGTGCCAGATTTATGCTGGCGATGCTCCCAGGCAAAAGGTACTCTTCTCCATATATGGTGGGAATGCCTGCTGCTACAGCCCTTCTGGAGAAAAGTTTTGGACACCATTAGACAAGTAACCACTTACACCCTAGACTTTACACCTGCACAATGTCTACTCCATCACTCCTCCCTTCGGTGAGGATTTACCGTAAGTCCCTTGCATTACACATGTTAAATGCAGCAAAGCAGTGTATCCCTGTTCATTGGCGATCAGCCTATATCCCACCGTACGAGAGTGGATTCTTAGGATCCAGAGGATTGCTGAAATGGAGGAACTGATCTCAGTGGCAAAAGATCACCCCGAGCGATTCAGGAAGACTTGGGCTTGTTGGACCCATTTCCAATCTACTGATACTTACCTTGGCTTGCTGAGGGATTGAACGAGAAAGACTTGGAGACACAGAAGGCCTCTAGAACTTTCACCTCGGCAATAACTCCATTAACGGTCATTCACTGAATTATATCGCTAATTAAAAAGATGGAATTAGAACCAGTATTTAGTTTCTCCATATAGAGTAACACTGAGTGACAACTCTGTGGTTACTCTGTGGTTACTGCTTTCTCTGAGTCCACCCAAGTTGTATCCTGTGTTGAGCCCTGATTAATGGGGAAGTGTTTTTGCCTCCAAAACATGATGTCCAATTTTTATGATCTATTTATCAACAATTAAAACAACCATGGGCTCTTTGTTGTTAGTCTGACATTCCTTTCTCCAAAGTTCTTATTGCTGTTTATGTCCTTGCTGGGGAGAGGCACACTATTTGTTTGTCCTGGTGACCACTGTCACTGAGACAGAAAGTGAAAAAAAAAAATCTAAATTTTACACTTGTCACCAGAACAAAAAGTAGGGGAAATCTTGTAATAGATACATGTCCCCTTGACAAATGTATAAAAGGGATATTTCCATCACTTTGCTAAGAATGCCTTTCACTTCCTGTTATAGCTCCAGGACAGGGAGTGAAGGGAATTGTGAAATGCACAAAGACAGCGAAAAACTAATTGACAGGGGTTTTATGCATTCTATACTTTATCCAAACCTATATCACCCTATGCTCCAGCACCACACTAAACCAATGTAAGGACCATTTTTTCAGCCCCATCTGAATGTCAGAACTCCTGGCAGGAGAAAAGCTGCTTATAAAACATGCAAAAGGACCGTATTGCACATGTGTTTAGTCATGTCAAGTGTTTTGAGTGTTAACAGATTCCATTGGCCAGAATATGAATTTATTTTGGCCACTGGAATGCATTAATGCGCTAAACGCATCTACCTTTTTTGTACACTTCTGCTCCTCTCCTGAATGCGCTTTTGGTGTTTTCTTTCGGCCTATAAACACTTGTCCCCTAATATGTTTGTAAACACCTATGTGTGCATGGACATATAGTTCAACGTAGGGTTGCTTTTAGAGGCTGAACAGAAAAAACGGCAAATGTCTGTTGTCACAGAAACCACTGTGACCTGGGGGCCAGCCTCATTCCCACTGACTATGGACCCAGGAAGAAGACTCCCCCCCCCCCCCCTTGGGGCTACAAGGAACCGTTTCCCCAAGAGGGGTTATCACTCCCATACCTTGGTGGCCGTGAATTGTAACAGCTTCCATTTCCCTGCAATTAGGGCTGGAGGGACTGTTTTTGGGACCCCTATGCATACTGTGCCTAGTGGAACTATGTGCAGGAAGTGAATTCCAGCATATGTGTGGTTAAGGAACTTTATTTTCTGATACAGATTTCCTGGTATCAACTATTGTTTTCCATAATTAGGTTTAGGTGATAAGCTCTCACTTTGTTTAACCGCCCTATAGCAGAAATACTACTACAGGGCAAAGCAGTGTGATTACAGTGATTACAAGCACAGGGATACAGCCTATAGTGAAACAGCACACAGTTAACCCTTTGATCACCCCTCATGTTAATCCCTTCCTGCCCAGTGCCATTAGGAGTGTCAGTGCTTTTATTTAGCACGGATCACTGTATTGGTGTCACTGGGGAGGTCAGTGACACCAAGCCAGTTCCCCCCAGTGCCAGAATGTCCACCGCAGTCCCGCTGTAAGTCGCTGATCGCCGCCATTACCAGTAAAAATAAAATACCAGTATATATACCGCCATTTGTAAATAAACCAATTAATTTACATGTATTGGGATTTTTTTTTTTTTAGCAAAGACATGTCGCAGAATACATTTTGACCTAAATTTATGAAGAAATTTGATTTTTTAAATTTTTTTTACTGGACAGGTTTAATAACAAAAAGTCAAAAATATTGTTTTTTTTCTCTAAATTGTCGGTCTTTTTTTTTAACGCAAAATATTAAAAATGCACTCACAATCAAAAACCACCAAAAGAAAGCTCAATTCGTGGGAAAAAAAAGGAGGTAAATTTAATTTGGGTGCAGAGTTGCATGACCGCACAATGGTCAGTTAAAGTAACACAGTGCCGTAATGCAAAAAATGGCCTGGTCAGGAAAAGAGGCAAATCCTCTGGAGGGCAAGTGGTTAAACACCTCCTGAGTCCAGACTGCTAGGTGCCTGGAAGGAAGTTGTTTTCTTTTGTTTGTTTATGTAAGGTAATTTTCTCCTGGGACTTGTAGTGTGGGTCATACCTGTCTAGAGGGAAGGTTTTTGTGTATAAATGTTGTGCTGTTTGCTAATAAAATCATTCTTTGTTTTACTCCTGCATTGGTTCTGACTAAAGCTTGGGGTAAATTTGTTATATTTTGGTTGCAGAATGGAGGAAGCTGTAGTTTGGTGGAGATACCCAGTCGGGGTGTCAGGCAGTCCATCACACCTGTAAAAGCAGAATTTTTTTAAGCCCAGAGTTCATGAAACCTTAGGAAGAAATGTAGTCTCCTTTTATGTCGCTCCACCACCGCCATGTTGGAATGTGCTCAGATATGTCAAATTGCTCTGCCCAGCCTTCATGTCTTGGCAGAGCCCTTCAGCACACACACACAGAGTGCAGAGTACTGGAAATTCATATCAACTGTCTTTACACATGAGCAGGGAAGCTGTGTGCACGCATGTGCTGCAAAACCAGCATGTGGGCAGATGTGCCACAGGGCTATTTGCAGCACAAGGCCACAACCTGTCCTTTTTTCAGCTCACACGATAGCGGTGCATTGGTATGAACTAAAATGGGACAAACTACTAAGCAACGTATTCACTCCCTTGTTATCTCTCGCTTTGACTATTGTAACTCCCTCCTCATAGGCCTACCTCATCGCAGGCTGTCCCCTCTTCAGTCTATCATGAATGCTGCTGCCAGACTCATCCACCTTAATAACCGCTCTGTATCTGCCACCCCTCTCTGCCAATCCCTCCACTGGCTTCCCATTGCCCAACGGATATAATTCAAAACATTAACAATAACGTATAAAACCATTTATAACTCTGCCCCAAATTACATCACCAATCTTGTCTCCAAATATCACCCAAACCGTCCTCTCCGCTCCTCACATGACCTCCTGCTCTCTAACTCCCTTGTCTCCTCCCCCCATGCATGTCTCCAGGACTTTTCCAGAGCTTCCCCCATCCTCTGGAACTCTCTAGCACAATTTATCAGACTATCGCCTACTCTGCTCACTTTTAAGCGATCTCTGAAAACCTATCTCTTCAGGGAAGCCTATCCTTCCCTCAGCTAATAATGGAATCTTCTACTCTTCCAACCAGTCCATCCCCCACAGTTACTACCTTTTGTACCACTAGCCCCTCCCTTTTAGATTGTAAGCTCCAAGGAGCAGGGCCCTCCTAACCCTCTTGTATTGTTGCTGTATTGTCTCCCGTTATATTGTAAAGCGCTGAGCAAACTGTTGGCTCTATATAAATCCTGTATAATAATAATAATAAATATGGTGAATCGTTGCCTCTGTGTGTTGGGAATGCTCACCAATGCATACAATGTGCATGGGTCCCAACGCTGTGATCACTACAGTAGCTTGTATCCTAATGATACAAGACCCTCCCTCAGAACACATCAGATATGTCTGTGATGTTTATAGCAACCAACCAAGAGTAATAGTAAACTTGACCTGAGAAGAAGGCTTCCTAACACTCTATATGAGCCATGAACAGAGTACTACCGCCTTAGAAGAGAGCTCCCACAAGCCCACCATACTGTGTATGGCTGAATACCAGCAGCCCATGATATCCCTGCTCACCCATGTACCTCGAATCCTCAGCAGTTTCCGGTAACACAGCCCAGAACACGTAGTGCCTACTGACGTCACCGACCCGGAAGCTTCTACATGCCTGGGAAGTGTAGCCGAACACAGGGCTTCAGCCAGCCAGAGAATGCGGAAGTTGTAGCGACTGTGCGACGGAAGGTCGCGCTGTGCATTGTGGATGAAAGATGGCGCCGCCCATGTAGAGCTGTCAGTTCAGGGAGGACAGAGGAGCAGAGATGCCGAAGTACTACGAGGATAAGGAGGAGGATTCTCACCCCTGTGCAGGCTCAAAGGAGGATCTGAAGAGCTGCCTGCTGGAGAGTGCCTGTGTGCTGCAGGTGGGCCTCTCTCCTCATCACCTGGCCATCTTCCATGTTTGATATGTATACGTGTAGTATAGACCTCAAACCTGCCTAGAACATTGCATTTAGAATTTACAGTCACAATAGGGCCCCACACAAGTCACAATAGGGCCCAATGTACACGGCTATCTTGGTTTGCTGGCAGAGAGATTCGCAGTAAAACGTGCTCTGTACTGCAGGGAAAGATCGAGCCCTCCGCTGATTGGACTGGAATATAGCTCAGAGAATGCCCGAGCTCATCCCCAGTCTCTATCTCTTGAGAGGGATTTGTCAAAACTGGAGCAGTTATGCATGACAACCAATAGATGTCTTTCACTCATTTTCAGCTCAACTGAACAAGCTGAAGATAGAATCTGATTGGCTGCCATGTGCAACCGCTCTCCATTCTGTCTGCTCCAGTTTTGATAAATTCCCCCCATTCTGTGGCTGTGCCTCCACTGATTACATACTAATGTTTATGTGTTATCATACACTGCAGCTGGAAAGCTGTCCAGCTGTTGCCAAACTACAAGTCCCATGAGGTATTGCATGATTGACAGTTACAAGCATGACTCCCAAAGGCAGAGGCATGATGGGACTTGTAGTTTCACAACAGCTGTAGGGCCGACAGTTTGACACCCCTGCCACTGGTGTACTTAATCCACTATTAACCACTTTCCCTCTAGAGGATTAAACAACCTTCCTGACCATGCCATTTTTTGTGTTACGGCTCTTCGCTACTTTGACAATTGCATGGTTATGCAGTGCTACACCCAAATGAAATGTGTCCTTTTTTTTCCCCCACAAATAGAGCTTTCTTTTGGTGGTTGCAAAATAAAACTAAACGAGCGCTGGGTGAATAACAGTGTTAAGATAGCTGCCAGCATAAAAAGGAAAACCTCTAAAACCTCTACATGTGATATATATAAATATAAATATGCAGCGCTTGAAGACAATGTATAATCACAAATTAGTGTAATAATAAAATATACGTGTAAAACAAAGTTACAAATGGCGTACAAAGACGCAGCAGATCTCAGCCACCAGGGGGATCATACCCATAAGTGTACGTCAGGTCACAAATCACCTTCAAAAAGGGGGCTCGCAGGAACAAACAGGCCCAAGAGATAGAAGCTCCAATGGTGTAGTAATTTTTATTGCAAGAAATGACATCAGAAGCAAGTAAACATGAACTTACATTCAGGAATCCAAGATGGCCATGAGGGAGGTGCCCTAACCATTGCTAGCACACCGCACGGCCTGTATGGACGGCCGGTGGCCATCTTGGATTCCTGAATTAAACTGTTGAGGCCTGGATCTAAGAATGGATTTAACTGTTGAAACCAGGGTCTAAAAATAGATCCTGGATCTAAAACTAGATCAAACCATTGACACCAGGATCTTAAAATAGATCGAACTATTGAGACCAGGATCTAAAAATAGATTCAATTGTTGAAATCAATATCTAAAAATAGATCCACGATCTAAAAGTAGATTGAACTGTTGAGACCTGGATCTAACAATGGATTGAACTATTGACACCAGGATCTAAAAGTAAATCGAACTGTTGACACCAGGGTCTAAAAACAGATCAAACTGTTGAGACCAAGATCTAAAAATAGATCAGTCCATTGTTAGATCCAGGTCTCAACAGTTCAATCTATTTTTAGATCTTGGTCTCAACAGTTTGATCTGCTTTTAGACCCTGGTGTCAACAGTTCGATTTATTTTTAGATCCTGGTGTCAACAGTTCAATCCATTGTTAGATCCAGGTCTCAACAGTTTGAACTGTTGACACCAGGATCTAAAAATAAATTGAACTGTTGACACCAGGGTCTAAAAACAGATCAAACTGTTGAGACTAGGATCAAAAAATAGATCACACCATTGAGACCTGGATCTAACAAGAAATCAAACCATTTAGACCAGGATCTAAAAAAAGATTGAACTGTTGAGGCCTGAATCTAAAAATAGATGCAGGATCTAGAAATTAATCGAACTTAAATTAAGATAGATCCAGGATATAAAAAATAGATTAATTTGTTGAAACCAAGATCTAAAAATAGATCCAGGATCTAAAAATAGATCAAACCATTGAGATCAGGATCTAAAAATATATTCTGGATCTAAAAATAGATTGAACTGTTGAGACCTGGATCTTAAAATAGATACTGGATCTAAAATTAGATCAAACTGTTGAGCCCATGATCTAAAAAATTAGATCAAACTGTTGAGACCAAGATCTAGAAATAGATCAAACTGTTGAGACCAAGATCTAAAAATAGATTAAAATATTCTGAAAAGGATCTAAAAATAGAGCCAGGATCAAAAAATAGATCAAACCATTGAGACCTGGATCTAACAAGAGATCAAACCATTGAGACCAGGATCTAAAAATAGATCAAACCATTCAGACCAGGATCTAAAAATAGATCAAACTGTTGAACCTGGATCTTAAAATAGATCAAACTGTTGAGACCAAGATCTAGAAATAGATCAAACTGTTGAGACCAAGATCTAAAAATAGATCAAACTGTTGAGACCAAGATCTAAAAATAGATCAAACTGTTGAGACCAAGATCTAAAAATAGATTAAACCATTCTGAAAAGGATCTAAAAATAGAGCCAGGATCAAAAAATAGATCAAACCATTGAGACCTGGATCTAACAAGAGATCAAACCATTGAGACCAGGATCTAAAAATAGATCAAACCATTCAGACCAGGATCTAAAAAAGATCAAACTGTTGAAACCTGGATCTTAAAATAGATCGAACTGTTGAGACCTGGATCTTAAAATAGATCGAACTACTGAGACCAGGATCTAAAATTAGATTCAATTGTTGAAACCAATATCTAAAAATAGATCTAGGATCTAAAAATAGGTTGAACTATTGACGCCAGGAACTAAAATTAGAGCAAACTGTTGAGACCAAGATCTAAAAATAGATCGAACCATTGAGACTAGGATTGAAAAATATAATTGAGACCTGAATCTAAAAATAGATGAAACCATTGAGACTGGAATCTAAAAATAGATTGAACTGTTGAGACCAGGATCTAAAAATCGAACTGTTGAGACCTGGATCTTAAAATAGATCGAACCATTGAGACCGAGATCTAAAGATAGAACCGTTGAGACCAGGACCTAAAAATATATCGAACCGTTGAGACCAGGATCTAAAAATAGATCAGACCATTGAGACCAGGATCTAAAAATAGATCAGACCATTTAGACCAGGATCTAAAAATAGATCAAGGATCTAAAAATAGATTGAATTGTTCAAACCAAGATCTAAAAATAGATCCAGGATCTAAAACTAAATCCACGATCTAAAAATAGATCGAACTATTGACACCTGGATCTAAGAATGGATTGGACTGTTGAGACCAGGACCTAAAAATAGATCCAGGATCTAAAAATAGATCAGATCATTGAGACCAGGATCTAAAAATAGATCAGGCCATTTAGACCAGGATCTAAAAATAGATCAAGGATCTAAAAATAGATTGAATTGTTGAGACCAAGATCTGAAAATAGATCCAGGATCTAAAAATAGATCAAACTATTGACACCAGGATCTAAAAATAGATCAGACCATTGACAGCAGGATCTAAAAATACATCCTGGATTTAAAAATATATCAGACCATTGAAAACTAGGATCTAAAAATAGATTGAACTGTTGAGACCAGGATCTAAAAGTAGATTCAGGATCTAAAAATAGATTGAATGATTGAGACCAAGATCTAAAAATAGATCCAGGGTCTAAAAATAGACTGAACTGTTGACACCAGGGTCTATAAATAGATCCTCGATCTAAAAATATATCAGACCATTGACACCAGGATTTAAAAATAGATCAAACCATTGAGACCAGAATCTAAAAATAGGTTGAACTGTGTAGACCTGGATCTTAAAATAGGTGGAACTGTGTAGACCTGGATCTTAAAATAGGTGGAACTGTGTAGACCTGGATCTTAAAATAGATTGAACTGTTGAGACCTGGATCTTAAAATAGATCGAACTGTTGAGACCTGGATCTTAAAATAGATCGAACTGTTGAGACCAGGATCTAAAAATAGATCAAACCATTGAGACCTGGATCTAAAAATAGATCAAACCATTGAGACCAGGATCTAAAAATACATCAAACCATTGAGACCAGGACCTAAAAATAGATCGAACCGTTGAGACCAGGACCCAAAATTAGATCGAACCGTTGAGACCAGGACCTAAAAATAGATCGAACCGTTGAGACCAGGACCTAAAAATAGATCGAACCGTTGAGACCAGGACCTAAAAATAGATCGAACCGTTGAGACCAGGACCTAAAAATAGATTCTAACCGTTGAGACCAGGACCTAAAAATAGATCGAACCGTTGAGACCAGGACCTAAAATAGATCGAACCATTGAGACCAGGACCTAAAAATAGATCAAACCAATGAGACCAGGATCTAAAAATAGATGAGACCATTGAGACAAGGATCTAAAAATAGATCAAGGATCTAAAAATAGATCGAACTATTGACACGTGGATCTAAGAATGGATTGAACTGTTGAGACCAGGACCTAAAAATAGATCGAACCGTTGAGACCAGGACCTAAAAATACATCGAACCATTGAGACTAGGATCAAAAAATAGATGAAACCATTGAGACCAGGACCTAAAAATAGATCGAACCGTTGAGACCAGGACCTAAAATAGATCGAACCATTGAGACCAGGACCTAAAAATAGATCAAACCAGTGAGACCAGGATCTAAAAATAGATCAAACCAATGAGACCAGGATCTAAAAATAGATGAGACCATTGAGACAAGGATCTAAAAATAGATCGAACTATTGACACCTGGATCTAAGAATGGATTGAACTGTTGAGACCAGGACCTAAAAATAGATCCAAGATCTAAAAATAGATCAGATCATTGAGACCAGGATCTAAAAATAGATCGGGCCATTTAGACCAGGATCTCAAAATAGATCAAGGATCTA